TACAAGAAATATGGAAGCCCAAACTCACTAATTGCCTACGGGCACAGAAAACCTTCATATGACTCCGCTTTGATCAAGAGCCTTTCCAATGTCCTGAAAAACTTCAAAGCAATTGAGTCCTGCAAAACATGCTTCTTGAAAAATTAAGAATAAGCCAAGTCGCAACACAATTTTTCCTACATGCACTAGCATCTAGAATCTTAGATGATCTTGAATCAAAGAGCCTGTTAAATATCACTTAATCTGCACTTGTCAGTTGATAAAAATTAAAGATCTTGAATTTCTTATTGTGAATTGCATTGCTTACGCATGAAATACATTGTTCATTTAAGACATATAAAGATGTTTACTTTGTTATCTCAGGCCTATGCATACCGAGGAGGTATTTTGAAAGAAAACGTCTACGAGGTCAGTAAGAGCAAGAAAACTTAATTCCACTAACGAAACTATGTTTTGTTAAAATTTGAAGGAAGCTGTCCACCAAAAAGTCCATGGTAAGCAATTTAAACTTCGACGGTTAGAGACAAAAGCAGTAGTAGTTTGGGAGTGGGCTAAACGCTTCGAGCAAAAATATATCTGACAAAACTTAGTAACTTTATTATTAAGAAAGAATTAAAATTTCAAGATCACACATACTTTCAAAATTTCTGACAAAATAAGGTGATCTTTGACTACGTCATCTATTTTCAATTTTGGATTTTTTTAACTAAAACTTATATTTTGCCTACTAGTGTTTTCTTTATTTATTGCCAAAGTGAATTGACCAATCAAAAAGAATTCGATAATTTTTTAATATATGATGTTCAATAAACAGGTGACTGCTTTAAAAATTGTATTAATTATTTTCCCCTATTCTCGGAACTCCTCTTAAAAGACTCGGTCATGAAAGTTAGCAGCTAACTTGACGATATACTAAACTTTTTACGACGCTCTAAATTCGGGAAAAATAAAAACTACTTTTCTTTGTTGCACAATGCAAGTAACTACTTAAGCTCTTCTTATCCTGAGATCCAACTTTCACACGACAATATCCCCTTTTTTACTGGATATTTGTTACAAAAATAAGCATCTGCGTAATAAAAAACACATAATTTATGAAAGAAAAAATAAATTTAATGATATTTAAAAAGAAGAATTATAAAACACTGTTATAAAATGATATATAATATATAATATTGGTTGAAAAATTTAAAACGACAACTATATACTAATATCTTTAGATGGCAGGTGCTCAAGGTCAATCTTTAATCATATATCATGAAAAATTTTGAAAATTTGTCTGTCATCCCTTTGCTCTCACACACTTTCAACAGATATAAATGCAGTTGTTTTAATATCTTTACTTCTTCACCAGAATAAATTTGACGATTGTTAAACGAAAGAAAATAAAATAATACTCGTACTAATGTTTCAAATCCTAAACTTCAGTGTTAATAAACTTGCAGACATTATTGCCAAATGTATTAAAATTCTCTATTTTTAATTAAAATATAGATGCCAGAGATAAAAGAGAGACACGTGACAAACAAACTTTTGACATTTGATGTGCCTCGTGAACCAATGAGTTACATAGTTTTATATGAACAAGCGATGTGAATTACAATTAATACATCCAAAAATAAATTCACTTACTTACAGAAACAACAGATTAAATATTTATGTTACTTAATATAAAACCACTGTGCACAAACAATATTATCACATATTTGTAAAACATGTAAAAAAAGAATTTCACACAAATAGTTTATTTATTTGTTAAAGGATCAAATTACACACTTTTATAAATTGGTGATAAAATAGTGCTAATATCAACAAATAGTTTCATATTTTCAGAAAGAGCAGCATTGACACAATTTATAACACAGCGTATCTTTCCTTTCATCATGAAAGTTTCAGTTTTTGTATCATTGGGTATTGTTTTATATCTCCTTTGTACTGAAGTAAAAATGGACCAGATTTTCTACAAAGAAGAGTTCTACAAACGAATCGGCCAAGGTATAAATTTTAAACTTCTACTAGCTATTTCAATGATTGCATAAGTTGTTTTTTTGAAATAACACGGATATTGTCTTCTTACGTAAGCAAAACCTGCCTAACTTTTACAAGTAAAACACTCTGACTCTATATAACAAAACGTTTTAAAATTTAGTCCTATAGATTATATATGCAAATATATAAAATATATTTAAAGAGCTGCAAGGCTTGACAATAATACCGAATTACGAAAAGAATCGATAAAAAACTTCAGCCATAAAATGACTTTCATAACTTAAAGAATGGAAAATTTCTTAGAAGAATGGAAACTTAAAGTGAATTTCTTTTCAATGACTTGTTGTTAAGCAAATAAATCCCCTAAAAAGTAAAAAAAAGAAGAAAAAATCGCACAAGATTAAATTTACCCGCACGATGAAATTGAAGATAACGAAAAATTTAAATGCTGTGTAGCTATATATAAATTATGAATGATTCAAGCGTAATTTATTACCGATTATTGATCGTCAAAACGACATCCAGCGTTCGGAAACGTTCTTTTTTAGATTTTATCAATGTCTTAACAAATGAACTTATGAAAAAATGACTATATAGAAGGAATAACTCCATTTTATTCTATGTTTTTCCTTTTTCTTATATGAGGAGTCTTTAGAGAGCTGCTTAAACAAACATTTAATTTTCATCAGTAACCATTGATTGATAAAACAACCAAAATAAATTTACGATAGAACTAAATCCCATCGTGAAATAAAATATATTTTAAAAACAATAATGTCATCAAACCTTAACTCTAACAAAATAACGTGCCCCTAATTTTTTCTCGTGCTGTCGAGAAACTTCTCCCCTATTTTAGTAATTGGATGTTAAGAACGTGACTTTTAAATTGCAGATGTCTTTGAGCTGTCACCTAAATAAAATCATGAAAAATTATTTGATTCTCATCGGCAATATCAAAATTATAGCCAAAGAATGAGAATTGCATGGAAGTTATTCCGAGGGCAGTTATTCAACAATCAAAGGAAGCCCAATGGCCAATCATTGCAAAAAGACAATTATAGTTTAAACCACAAAAGTGAATAAAACACAACATGTAAAACAAAACACTGTTTTTGAGCTTTTGATCATTTTTATGTTGTTTTATTATATTAAATGTTATCTGATTTAGTCTTAATTACATAGATCGCTTTTCATCCAAAGCTGAACAGCAGCGCTTTTGAAAGATTGCGTTTAAAATGAATTATTGTTTCCTCTTATAGGCATTCGTCTCAACGCTACAGTTATAAAGGAAGTAAAAGGTCCGACGTTTCCTGACTGTTTTGTGTACTGTTTGCAAGATAATCACTGTCGTTCTGTTAATGTAAGAGGAGAAAACCATCTATCAGGAGAAGGCTGTGAGTTACTTCCTGGTGTACATTCAGAAAATCCCTTCAATCTTGTTAAAGATAAATATTTTGACCATTTTGCTATCATGCCTCTAAACAGATCTATGGTAAGTGATCCAAAGTATTTAATCCTTAATAAGAACCCAAATTTTCTTCTAATTATAGTTTTTGGATGGTTCCCGAACTTTTATGTACATTTGCACCTACATTTGATTTGTATTAATGACAATGCTTAAAAGCTTGGGATTGCCCGGCAGTTCGAAATCTTTTTAATATCCTTAAAAGCTTAAAATTGCCATACTCAATCCATTTGTGTTTCACAGAAAAAAAGATTGACGCCTTTTTGTTATTTTGCCTGACAGTCACACGAAGCTTACAAATGCTACTTTTGGAGTTCAATTTCACTGAGGACCATCAACTGCTTATTAAAATAAAAATATCACCTTCTTTAATTGCTGTTGCAAGGCTTCTTGAACTGTGCTCTTGGAATGCACAATAATTAAAAAATTTGGTTGGTGCAAAATTTGTGCAGCAACAAATTTCCTTGTTGGCTCGAGTTTCCTTGAAGCCAATATTCGAAAAAATAATTGTCTAGTGTATTTTAATCTAGCTTCCTTTCTCTCACTAAAGGACGAATAATTTACACAGTTATTCAGCTATAAAAGGGTTGTAGGCGATATTTATCCTGTTGTACTGTTATATCTCGCTAAAACAGTACTTCAGTGTTTTCATTTTGGTACGTTGTTACACATAGTTGTACGATTCTCAAAGGCGTAGAAGTCGGGGGGGGGGGATGAAGGAAATGCCTCAACACATAAAGCACACATGTTGTGTTTTATACCAGAAAGTAGATATAAATAAAGCAAAGAGCATTTGAAATTTTGAGAGTTTTTATTTACTGTCATTAAAAAAGTCAAGCATTTTTATTCTAAAACAGTCTTAACTCATAATAAGAACAATTTTAATACATATTAAAACGAGAAGAAATTTGCCATTGTAAAAATAAGGCATAAACAAAAACAAAAATCGGGCATTACCGCCCCGAAACAGACCATGCACTCATATGCCAAAAGTAAAGTTAAAATTTATTTCTTATAGTGTCCTCTATAGCAGTAATTTAAAGAAGTCTTACGGAATAGTTTCCACTGATTTTATGATTGTAGTAATCCCATTGAACTAAAATGCATGGAACGCCATCTGTAATAGAAAAGTCTAATAAATTCTTGAAGCCAAATTTTAAACCCAGACACGCGAGATTACACCCAGACACACGTGTGTAGTTAATCAATTTTCAGAATCTCGAAACACTCCACTGCGTGAGTCTGGGTATAATCTTGTGTGTCTGGGTGCAAGATTTGGCTTCAATTATTTGCGTCAGATAGCGTTCTATGTATTTTAGTTCAATGAGTAATCCTGTCTACCAGTTTCTGGCCAGAAGACGCTGTAATTTTAGTAAATTTTAACGCAGACACATCATAGTAATCACGGCCGTGTTATAAGATGAGCGCATTGCATTTTGGGTCCAAGCGTATTGCATTTTAGTAAATACCTTTACTCAAAGTGCATTTTCCAACTAAAATCTTAAATTTTGCCAGTTTATGCAATAGGTCTTCGTCATGCACGCTCTCTTTTTTCTTCCTCGTTGCAGCTGAAACATTAGACTTCCTACAAATTGTTCAAGTATTTTCCCTTTTTTAATCTTATTTGTCGTTTTATTATATTGTTTGTATTTTTTAATGTGTAGGAAAACATTACATCACACTTAGTGAAAACTGAGCGCAATAACTATTTGCATTTTGTTAGTAAAATTGTGTGTTATTATATCAGAATTTTATACTTTGGTTATATACCTGTTTTAGTATGGTACCAGCAAAGCACCAGGAAAATCTTGCAACGATATTTATAAGCGAAGATCGGAAAGCAGTCTTTCTGATGGCATTTACTGGATATCACTTGAGCAAGAAAACAGTAAGACATCATGATTAAAAATACTGCATGTGAGGCATGTTACATGTTCAAGCAGTCTTCATTCATCATTCTTCATTAGGGATCATGTTACATAGTAGTGTGTACTGGAATAAACAATTTTCGAAAATTTCCCTTCTCTTTGCGAATAAATTTTTCTGTTTTTTGTACAGCAAAAGTAGCCTGATCAAAAATTTTTCAGAATTTTTACACCCACATTACATGCACACTAAATTACATCTGACATAAAATCTGTTCATGTTATATTTATTACAACGTTAATTAAGATATAAACAATGGTTTAATCGCTCCAAGAGTTTTTCATTGAACTTTAGGCAATTACAAGAATGTTTTTCCCGTATTTTGTGACATGAAATCTGGAGGTATGCTTATTTCAAACATTGAAATACTTTGTTGACATATGTATGTCTTGTATGTTAAGAGCACACGTTGAAGAACTGATTTATGATCCCCAAATAAAGATAAAAAATACATGCAGCAACAATTTTCTGAGACAACTTCGTCCTTATTGTTTAAATTAAAAGTGTATATAAGCTTGATGTGCTTTCCAATGCAATAATTATCACTTTGATGTTATTTTATACTGATTACATCTTTTGAATTTTTCATCGGATTTAAAAAGTTTTTTTTAATTTGGTGTAACAATGATTTGAAGTCAAAAGTAGAAACAAATCAATGAAAAGCTGATGTACTGAATATTTATAAAATGTCCAACTTGATGTTTTTGACTAATAAAAATGATCATAGTCAGTGCTTACCATTATAATCTTTATTACTCAACTTAGTTATAAAGTGCAAACATCAACACAAAAACAAGATTTTTATCTTGTACAATTTAAAAAGTAGCGTATTTTACGTTCCCAGATTAGATAAGTTTCCTTACAGCCATGTGCCATCATATCAGCTCTCAATGTAGCTGTATAACACTAAAATTGTTGAAAGATATGTCAAGTTATCATGTCTTCTGTTAGGATATACAATGGCTTTCAAGGTTGTTTCGGGAGGCAACCAATTAACAAGTATTGGTAAATTTTGGAAGCAGACGTCACCTTCACATGAATCAAGTTTAGAAGCTCTTAACAAATTTAAATCATTTAAGGGACTTTATAAAAATCGAATTGTTAACCCAACTAATTGGAACAAAGTAAAGCCCAGTGAGGTAAATATATAATCGACATAATGATGAAGTTGCACCTTTGAAATTGATGTACAAGAACCAATATATAAGCAAATATTAAATTGTAAAACACGTCGATTCATAGTGCTAATGCTGTCTAACAAGTAGCTACACCATACTATCATCAGCTGGAACTAGAAAATTAAGTTAAAACAAACTGATCTGGGTATTTCCTTTCTTCCCTCATTAGGTGTGTTTTGTGTTGTACAAAGATGGCTTAGAACAACTGGTTTTAAAGTTCAAAAGTGAACATAGCAGCTACATGAACTGGTTTACAAAGCACAACCTCGTGCAATCACCATGGCATGATATAACATCGTCCACATTTAACTACTTTACAATCGTAGGACCTTGCTGGAGTGGAAGATGTCGTGATTTTCATATAAATCACTTCTATGGAGGATGTCACAAGGATGATGGTTGGCTAAGCATTGGAAACACTATAGGATGCGCCTGGGAAAAGCGATTTTCAGGAACATCATTCATTTACAGCAAGGTTGGACGACACGAGAATTACAATAAATTCAGTAAGTTGAGACGTTTTTTCTCATGATATTTGTGCTATAGCAGTTTTGTTAAATTGTTCAAATTTTACGACAACAGTTGTGAAATAGCCTAGCTGCACTCGTAAAATTTTCAAAAGCTTGAACTATACCCATAATTGGTCTTAAAACCAGTTTTGTAATCTTCACCATTGCCGTACGGTGTGTTTATAAAAAATTTTGCGATATACATTTTCATATTAGCTTTTGTGTGTCGTGTTTTATATGAGGAAAATATCAGTGATATTTGGTCTTTCTCTTCTGTAATAATCATATAATTTTTAAGAGTGTCAAAAATTTGGAATTTTCTTTTTGCATTTAATCCTTTATTTGTACTCTTGTCAATTCATGTTTGTGTCGTTTTTCATATGAACGATCTTCAAATGAACAGTGAGCAAACTTACATATACTTTGTTTTGTTTAAACAGGTGAATTCTCTGGAGACTCCGATGTTTTTGCTATTTTCGTGCGATGAAGGACGATATGAATTTTAAAACACAATTATTGTGCACGTGTATGATGTGTTTCAGTGCTTATTAAAATAAATTGCATACTATCCAAATGTAGATAGAGTCATTCTAAAGACGGATGCAGGAATACTGCAAGGTTAGGGTTAATAAGGGGGATACAGGAAGATACTATTTGAAGGGTCTGAGACAGAACTTAACTCTCTTAAATAATTTGAAAACCAAAACTTTGTTTCGATTTTCGTGTCGCCATGTTCTCGGCCTATATGTGACATTACGTTATCAACGGTCGGGGGTAATATAGTTGCTCTCTCATATGCGCTATTAACTAATGTGTGTATTCATTATTTAATACCTTGTCATAATTAATTTAATATTAGAAATGCAAATTCAATGATATTAATAATAAACTAGAAAAAATATTCATTGTTTTTTTAAGAATATGAGTAAAGAAAGGGGTTGACGAAAACCCTGTTAACTCACTTCTCCCTAAATCCACCCCTGCATTCTTATCAACATATTAAAATCACATTATCAAGATAGTCCTTCCTATCAACATATTTCAAGATATTACGCCTATTAAATTAGTATATTTAAGTTATTGCTTCGACTGCATGTATGCTAAATATCCGAAATATCCCTACATGGAAAGTTCATTCATAAGCTATTTCAAAATGCAATTTCCTTATCAACAAATGATTGTCGGGTGCGATTGCTATAATCATCAAAGACTCAAGGCGATCTTGTTTCACTCTCCATCGTAAATTACTTTCAACAATATTTAGCTTATTTACTAAAACTGCCCTCCCTACCTATCACAAAAATTGGAATACTTAATATAATCATATACACCTATATGCAAGAGATGGGTGAAACAGGCGTTTATTCTTGAGGAATTGGGCAGCTTCTCGAAGATTCTTTGCCTTGCTTTATTGAATGACCCTTCCAATACCTTTCTTCTATAAAAGTAATGTGTCTTGGTTATGAAAGTCTTCAGGCAAAGCTGCACAATGTTAGCGGTGCACCTCGAGACGCATGAAATATATAGTTGAAAATGTCGTTGATATCGCTGACCCTAAGATTAGACCCTTTAAAAACATTGAATACGCTACGTTCCTCACTAGTGGCGAGAAATTGCCTTTTTTCAAATGGTTTAATTCCTTGATTTTTGCTGCTCTTGTTCCTGAAATTTACCCATAATATTTTTAGCTCCAATTTAATCTTGACCCTCTGGAACAAACTTCATTGTTCTCTTATTCGATGTTCGAGTATATCTTTCTTGTTTTTGGATTCGTCAATTTCCCTTTTCTTCGGGATCAATTTATCAAGCAAAACTTGTCTCATATCTTATATTTGCATTGTGTTTATAGTTATACGCAAAACACGTTTCTTATTGTAATAACATGGATGCCTCGGGATCTTTTGTTATCACAGGGACGTTTACTGACGTATTTCCCTCATTTATAAGGATGATGGATATTTAGTACTAAATATCCCTCATAAATATATTCATTATGGACGTTTAGACTAAATATTCCTCATCAATATTAAAACAATATATGCCTTACTTTCAAATTTTACTTTCGTCACGAAGAGGTTGCTTCAGCTTGCATCTTAACTTTTCCACGGCTGAATCATTTTAATTCTGCTGAATGAAAACGGTTAATAGCATGATATCCTCGGCATGTCCTTTGAAACCACAATACTCAGAGGGAAATTTTATCAAGTCGAATATCCTCTTGCTCAACTGTTGCTACATCGTCAGTTCTTCGGAGTCAGATACGAGTAAATCTTTCGCCCTATTGTTCAAAATCGCCAAACTTACGTTATTACAAGCCTTAGCGCCTCACAATTTATGTCATAGAGTGGTAACAGAAATCGTCTTTCATTCGCATCAAAAACTTTCTTGTTACTAGCTTGGGAAAACCAGTCATGAACCATCCAATAACTTCAAGTAGACCACAATAATAACAATATGTATTTGTAAAAAAAATTCATACACAGGTTCACTGAACCAATACATAAACAGAATTCACTATTACACAGCTAGATGGATTTCTTTATACCTCTACTGACCGATGTAAGAACAATGTACGCTTCAAACACCATTCAATGTTGTCAATTTCAAATAAATGAGCTCAAAATTTGATAAAACTATTGTCAAACAAAAAAGTCTAATGAGTTGATTATTCCCTCCTCAACCATGTTATTATAAAGTAAACACATGCTTTCGGGGATATTAGTGATAGCAAACACTACAACTTGTACAAAAATAACTTAGGCCTGTCTTAATCGTCGAACTTTAAATGAACCGAACGCATTAAAGGAAAAAGAAAATGAGATGAACTTCTTCATAATCTTTCTTTTAAATGCGTTCGGTTTATGTAAAGTTTGAAGTTTGAACTAGGCCTTAGAGGCTGTTTACATGATCCCGGTTGAACGCGATTCAGTGAGGCGCAAAATGATTTCGAGGGATTAATAGGAGGAAAAACTTCAAGGTTAAAAACTGGAACTGTTAGTTAAATGCCTCAAGTCATTCCTGTTGTAATTTTCAAATCAGGCTGAATTATTTGTTTTCATTTTAAAGGTTTTATGAATTTGCAAAGTCAGAGCATAGAGAAGTTGCTCAAATAATTTTTTTGTTGTGAAGTATTTAATCTTTTTCATTTGCCAAATGATTTAACGCTTTGCTGAATCCTAACTACTGGGCTAATCAGAACACTCGTTTAGGGGTGTTCACAAATCAATTTGGCAAATGGAAAAAATTAAATATTTTACAACGAAAAACTTATTTGAGCAATTTCTCTATGCTCTGACTTTGCAAATTCACAAAACCTTTAAAATGAAAACAAATAATTTAGCCTGTTTTGAAAATTACGACTAAAATGACTTATGACGCTTTAGAAAAGGTTATAAGTTTTGTGCTTGAAGTTTTTACTTCTTTCAAAAACTCAAAATCATTTCCCCCCTCGCTAAATCCCGGTTACCGGTCTCATGTGAACAGACCCTTAATAGGGAAAAGACGTCATTTGAAATGAATATTTAGTGAAAAAAATTCTCTCCTAAAAAGTATAAAAAAAGCAAGAAAGAATGAAGGTGTTTAAATATAATAAGCAAAAATTGCACTGGTAACAGAATGTGCAAAAAAAACAGATCTGATGGTAAAAAAAAGTTTATAACTAAAAAATTAGCAAGTGCAAAATCGACATTGCATATAGATCTTAGCACAATCTGAAAGTAACGGTTGCAAGTCCACATGGACGTAAGAAATGCCCACAGCCAAAATTTACATAGCTGAATGAACGTCAACCGCTGCAAATCCAACGCCAAGTTGTAAAGACAACTTTAGCAACAAGTATACAAATGTTTAAGGAGTGTGATGTGCGTAATGTATAAATCCTTGGTGTATCCTAATCCTACCCTAACCCTAACCCTAACCCTAGTATGACTTTAGTGTAAAGGACATTCGTGACATTTTCTTCCGCTAAACTGACTCAAAGAGATTAAATTCATGGTTGTATAGCTTAGTATTCAGAGCACGATCACGCTTAGATGATCTCTTTGGCAACATTGCACTCAAAACTATACTATTATATTTAGTGTAATACTAAATAACAGGGAACATCAGACATTGATAAAACTGAACTTAATATAGAAGCTTCTAATAATCCTGAAGTAGAACAAATGACTTTCTTATGTTACAAAAACAGTAGCCTGTAGCACATACATTAAAGGCAGTTGTTGATATAACACTATAAGACACAGTGTGTATTTTATGTCTCAAGTATTTAGAAGATCAATATTTGAAAACGAAATATTACAGTCAGGTCTCAATTGTTGAAAAAACTTTAACAAAGAGATAAAGTAATCATAGGCGAAACTAGAACGTTAATTGGGGGGGGGGGTGCATATTAATATATTCCGTTGTGTCCTTCTGTTTCCTTTCAAAGTGATTTGAATTTCAAACGAAATCAGTAGGGCACAACTGAATATATGAATATATACCTCCCCCCCCCCACAATTAACGTTATAGTAATGCCTCTGAAAATACCTTCCAACGGCCTGGATAACAAGAAGAGAAAGGGGTGAAGCTAAATGTTGATCACATCTTTCATGAATAAATTAGTCAATTTACAAGGCAAGAAATATTAAACACTAGAAGAATTGCAACTTCATAGCTACCAGGTACATACCCAGAACGATAATGTTGTTAATGATACGAGTTACTTGATGAAAAACTTTCTTCTGTGGTTACAGTAAAACATAAATAAAACATATTTAATCAGAAAAACGAAAATAATGATAATTAAAACAATTACACCATGTAGTTGATTGACACATTATCATTGACATATAGGCAAAGTGCATGTATCAAATCAATCATCAATGTATTGCTAAATATTGAAAATATTGGCCATTTTCTTAACTGCGATCAACCTATATAATAATCATGCAAAAGCTTTCTGTAAAGCAAGATAAGAAATTGCTCTGAAAGATCGTCAATTACAGATGAACAAAGAAATCAAGCAAATAAAAATCAAATATTTTTCAAAGTCCAAAAAATTAAAACGGCATTTTTAATGTTAAAGATTGGTTCCAAATTCTGAAGCTTTGATATCATTAAAAATGTTTTAAATAACATCACGACACTGATTGTAAGTCTGTTTAATAGCTATTAACTTCTGCTTTACAGAAAACAACAGAAAACAACTGCAAAATTAAACACTGTACAGTTATGCGTAAATATATTTTTATTGCGTTTAACTATTTTTTAAACACCAATCAACAAATAAAATTTGTTTTCACCACAATAATTCTCCTCGTTCAACATCATTTATTCATATTTTTTACTGTTTATCATCAAGCAACGATGTAAACTGCCAGTAAAACTTGTATGGAAGTTCCCAATATTCAGAAGTCCAGTACAAATCATAGAGCAATTTGAACTGATTTGATTTTGCAGTGAAGCGATTCAAATCTAAATTTGCAACCAAATTTTGAAATGCTCTGTCGTACCCCATTAACTTACTTTTCAGTAATTGCAGACTTTTTTCTTTCAAAATTGATAGGTTTCCTTCCTCAAGTGTTTCGTTTACAGCAGCTAGAGTGTACTTTATATCGTAAAACGCTTGCGCTGCCCGCTCGATGTCAAAGTGAAAAATGAGGGAGAAGTTTCGACGGTGATATGTTACCGGCAAAAGTTGACTGATCTTTTTAATCCAAACTTCAGTGGGGAGACCAAAACTTGAAGTTTTTGCAACCTAAATGTGACAAATAAACATTATTCAAAATTAAGAGCAAGATTAAAAGCATAGAAATAGTCTAAACAACTATTGACTTAATTGAATTCAATTGAATTGAAAATTACAATATTAATTTTTAGAAATTATGATATTAAATTTCTAAATATATTTTTTGATTAATCTTTTATAAACATTGTAAAAGACTTAATTAATTCTTATATGTACGTTGTATTGTACTTTGTGGTCCTAAATATTGTTGTTTCTTTCAAAATAATTTGCCATAACTTTTGCAGATTTTAAAAATAATGGTATCGACACATTGGACATAAAATAAACATATTAATAAAGATAGAGCCCCTGTTTCTACAGCAAGAAATTATATCGTGTTGCGTTGATGTGTATAATCTGTCAAAAACTGTGATGTTATCACACTAACCTCCCTCTGATATCTACGCAACACCTCTCTTGCCGAGGTCAGGTTACAAACCTCCACAATACCGGACTCGTTTCCCCAAAGATATTTTGAGTAAAATATCTTCAACGTTGAAATATTCTTCGTGAATCGTGCGATGTCCTCAAATTTGCCATTCAAAAATGAAATCTTGATGCCAGCATTTATTGCATCACGAACATCACTCTTAGTACTGCCATTTTTGACGTGAAATTCAAATGCCAGAAGTAGATAACTGCCTCTTTTAACTCCGTTTATATAGTGATAACCCGAAAAGTTTGAATTTTTCCAATCGGATCGTGGCGGTGTATTATATAAGTCAATGCTTTGCCATGTCTATATATGTATAAACATTTAAGGTGTTAGGTAATAATACTTGAAATACCCTTTGATATAAAGAGAATTACGTTGGTAAATTCAGTGGTATAGAAAACTGGGCAACTGAACGTTGTGATTACCAAAAGTCATTAAACAGTACGGCTCCGACATACTTTATATAGTTATGTGCTCAAGCCAAATTACCGCATTAATTTTTAAATAATTATAGGTGACATGACTTACAAAGTCGGTAAAAGAAGAAGTCCAAAATCGAACAACGTTTTTGCTGTTGTACATTGATTCGAAGAAACGACCTATATCACCCATATTAATCGATCCAGCCATGATTTGAAGACAAATATGATAAGGTAATTCAAGATATGAAGCAGCATCAGACCAGTCGTCTATGATATAGCCGTGTCGATATCTACTAAAATGATATCGATGCACGGTCGTCATTTTGCTGACATTGGCTTGGAAGATATTTGGTCCCACTACGGATTTGGAGAGATCCAAGGCCCTACCAAGCTGCATACCTCTAATGTATGGCACACTAGTCAACCATGCCATGACTGAAATTCTGAATGTTTTCAAAATAATATCATCAAAAGTACAAATAAAACAAAGCTAAAATGATCTTACGTGCGTTCTCACCTTTTTAGAAGAAGCAACAATAATAAGGTCGAGAGTTTCATTTTAAATACGAGTTAGCAAAAACAAGCAAAAGAGGACAAATTGTTCTCTTTGAACACTCTGAAATCTGAATGTTCAAAATCTTCCTATGATACAGCATTTATAATGCCATCCTGTCACACCACCTGCAGTCTATATACCTTTTTATGTATTTGGCCTGTCAACATATGGGGGGTGCACCGTAAGAATGGTTTAGGATATTGAATTTTCGTCACCATCAAAGAAAATATTTTTTTACGTGTTACTTTCATCACACGCAGCTTTAATCTCAACCAACAGAGGCAAAAATGCCGCAGTTCAAGTCTTTTCATATACTTTTATTGGATTGTTACAAACAGTGAAAATAAATACACCCTATATAGCATTATATCAAACGACGATTCTTTTGGCAAAACTTTTTATTTTTTCAGCAGATTTATTTTAACGACGGTTTGAAATTTTAGGGGAAACATTTCCTCTTTTACAGCACTTGTCAAGACTTAATGAGTACAGAAATGCATCAATTAACCGCAAGCTGTTTCGTTTTTACGCTGATTCAAATAAAACTTGCATGAAAAAATGGCTAAAAGTTTTTTCTCCACATTTATGACAATGCTCAGTTTAAAGAAAGTTAAAATAACGTAAGCATGCAACTTTTGAGTATTTATTCTTGCTGTAAATAAACACTTGAAATTATAAGTCAAAAATTTCTCCCAAAATTTTGGGCTTATATAGTTGCTATGAAAATATATCTATAATTGTGTAGAAACACAATCGTTAAATACTCATTTGATTTTTAGCTACCACTTTCTTAATTACACATATTTCAATGCAATTTTCTGTATCACTATAAATAAAATATATGATTAAAGTGGTAATATGATACAATAATGACAAGTATAAATATGAATCGATTATAGTAACAAGAAAATGATATAAATCAATGAGGAGTACATTCATAATGAAACTGAATACAGTGTTGAAACGAAAAAGTAGCTCGCTAAAATTAGAGTAGGTTTTGTTAATGTGAAGTGCTTCTTTGAATTTAGAGAAGTTTGTTATATCTGCACTGTCAATGATTTTGAAACAAGAGGGGGAATATTTGCCTTTACATGAAGGTTATTTTAAAAGGTTCGAAAGATACGTGAGTTTTTCTCAGTCATGTTCCCTGATTCTGGTGGACAAATAACGAAACGTTTTGCCTGTACATCAGGAAGTACATGCCGTACAATTGAATTGATACATCACCGTGTATTGATACACCACCATGCATGAAGTTTGACTATAATATATCATTTGATAAACCACCATATTGCCACCATGTCTTTACTTTAACAGTTTGCATCAAGCAAATAGAATGGAAACGTCACATAATAAACAAACATTTTAATTGCTTGCGAAAATACTTCCTCTTTCTTCCTTTCACCTATCGTATCTCATCAATACTCAATATGGATAGAAAATACACTTTAATTAACAAAATTATGATTCTTGTAATTAACAACTGTTTCCAGTGAGGAATGCACCTTTTCGTCAATTTTTAGCACCTGTGAGTATAGTTATAAGGCAATTTAAAATTATTATGCGGTGACAATTCCATACTTTGTACTCGTCAATTGAAGTGAAAATCTAAGACTGTTTACAACTTCAACTGGGAATATACTGCTTGAATATACTTACTTTCTCGTTCTTTGTTCAATTCTTGAGTATAGTAGTTTAGTCTCAAACTTGATCAGCAATATAGTCCTTTTCCAAAATATCTTACTGACTCACACTATGGGGCATTTTGAGAAGTAGGAAATTGCGTCTATAACGCATGAATTGTTTATTGGTTCACCCCATATTATATCGGGTGGTGACTAGTTTTCTTCTCATTGACTTTGTGATGCTTGTATGTAGTAACTATGCCGTTTAAGCGTTCATGATTAGATGTTAGACTCAATGCCTGAAACGGTAAGACTTTGAAACCATGCAGACTGTGAATAGGTTAGGACAAAATTACCAATTATAGGCTGGAGTCAATGCAACGAAACTCAAGCCACAAAAAATCAGGGTACCTTAGTCTGAAAGAGAATGGCGATTCTCGTTAAACTTGAAAAATTAATTCTGCAAATACTCCTTCGTCTCTATAAAATGTGCTTTTCTTAGTCTTACCTTCCAAAAATGGCGTTCGGGACCATCATTGAAACATTATTTAGGAGGGGGGAGGGGCTGTTACTATTTTGAGTAGTGCTCAACTGATTTCTTTTGAGGGTAAATTGCTTAGTGAATTGCATTGAAAAGAAACCATTTGGACACAACTGAATATATGAATAAATACTAAAAACTGTAGTCTTTGTGATAGTAAGATTTCTTTTGATAAATAAGGTGATTTTTCCTATTGTTATAATAAAAATATAGAATTATCTACTTAAGATAATGTCCATGCTCCATCGAAATAATTGTATATTATTTGGTGTGCAAACAAAGCAACAAAAAGCAATAAAGATTGTTGGGTGTAAGTGTTCAATTGTCTTCAGCTCATTAAATGGCAATCAGTCTATCAATGGGGAATGTTTGTTGAATTATTAGATGTTCTATGTATTTCAAATCTCACGAAAAGTAGTGCACGTTTACAGAAAATATAGGATAAAAAATAGGTTGACTATAAGTCATTGATTAATAGTATGGTATTTCTCCAAAGGAAAGGATGATGCAATCTCAGAATCTGGTGATATTGGGAGGTAAGAAAGGGTAAAGTGAGTGTTAGCAAATATATATGACTTTGCACAAAGAAATCTCGTCAATTAAAATATTAAGGTTAGTAATGAAATTGAAAAGTTTGATAATTGATTCTTAACCAATAGTCAAAATTTATTCCAAAGCCATCATCAGAGAATATATATAATATATTTAATCCTTTAGGATTAGTATATCAAATAGTCAAATTAGCGGGTTTAATTGGTATTACCTAAGATCTGCTACTACATCATAAAGCAAAGAGTTGCTGAAACATAATCTCAGCTATCAGGTGATTCTTAGGATTTACGTTGCTTCAAAAATTAGAACAAAAATAATTTATGAAAGCAGGGTGAACTAACAGAGAAATGAAATTTTATTTTTAAATTATATCATTCCTACAATTTCAAAATCCAAAAGATAATGATATTTGTTTAGGCCACAGGACTATTGATTCTCAAAGCTGAACCTTCGATAATTCTTATGTTTTTTTGTCAAGCGATGATACTGACAGTAAAACTTATATGGACGATTCCAATATTCATCTGACCCATAAAAAGTACGCATAAATTTGAACTGATCCGTCTTTGATGTGAAGCGATTTAAATCCAATTTTTTAACCAAGTTTTTGAATGCAGTTTCATACCCCATCAATTTTAATTTTAACGACTGTAATCTTTTTTGCTTCGTTATTGATAGATTTCCTCTGTCTAGTGTTTCGTTTATGGCAGTTAGCGTGTACTTTATATCGTAATACATTTCCGCTGCCCGCTTGATGTTAGAGTAATAGTTGTCAACGAGGAAGAAGTTCAGAGACTTGTTTGAAACTGGCAGAAGTGGCGGAAGTTGACTAAGTTCTTCAATCCAAACATTTGTTGGGAGACCAGCTCCTAACGTTTTGGCGACCTAAATAGTTTGACAAATAATTCTGATTCAAAAAGTAAAAGAAATAACATTAACTTGTTGAGAAACTTTTTGACGCGGTAAATCCGTTACACGCTTATAATTAATAAGGAAAAACAATTTCAAGTTGCAGTTTCAATCCTTAAGGTTGCAGCTTACAGCGATGAAGATAATAAGCACGACACTATTAGGGGGTGGAGGTGGTTTTTAAAGAGCTGGGTGATCTTTGAAATAATTTTTTGCTCCTAATTTGAAAACATTGACATAACCCTGGGCAATGTATAAGACGCAGTAAATTCCAGTGTAAGCACCCATCCCCCCAGTTCAATTTAGTTACGCCATGCATTTCACCCTTTAAATCTGTGGGCAGACAATTTAAATCAATTTTATACAAGAAAAATAAATACTTCAACAGCTAAAAATGCTAATTCATGCCATATAAAACTTCTAGTAATCAAACGGCTTGAAGGCAAAACTTCTAATTTGGAGAAACCAATTGTTTTAATGATCTCTATACATCTTTAAGATACATCTTTAAGATACATCTTAAATCTTTGCATCTGCCTTTCAGAATTATTAGTTTTCAAGGTGTTGTACAAAAGACATGTTACGTATTTCATTAAACGAATATTTTCAATGGATAGTCACTTCAGATATTTGTAATAATAATATACATGATTTCTCAATTCTGATTGGTTAAGAGCAGTGCAATTTTTCTTAAATACCAATGCAAAAATACGAAACACCGTTGCCAAAAAGCAAAACACCAGTGCAAATTTCTTGTTAAAATTGCTCCTGATTGTTTAGTCAAGTAAAGAAGTAATATATGAACCAATTAAAATAAAGGCTGTAAAGTTAAATTATTATAAACAAAGCAATTACAATGGCTGGCGTAAGCTTCAAGTAGATTTTCTTTGGCGAACGAGTTTGAAGTTCACCGTTTTAAAGATGTTTCTGTATACAAATATGAGCACTGCTTAAAGTAGATACCTCGTTCTAGCTGCGTGTGTGGAAGCTATGGTGTTGTGAAAAGAAATATCCCACGGAATTGAAATATACAAGCCGGTCAATATTAATAACTAGCCAGCTGAAATGTACGTACGCTGAAGTTTAAAGTCAATAGAATTAAGAATTTTTTTCATGTATATTATTGATATGTAATAGAATGGTTTATTCGTGCATGTTTTTTCCAAATTGCACTCGAAACCATGCTATTAGCTACATATACTAATAAGTGAAAATCATCAACTCTAACTTTAATCACGCACACAATTTAAAGAAAAATAAAATTTAAGAAACAGCAGGCATATTAATTGCTGACGTTAAGGTTATTCTATTATTGTTTTACAATTGTGCTGAAGAAGCAGGTGTTTTATGGCAAGAAGGAATCGTTTACTCAGTGCTGTAGAAGTGGAGGAGCCCCCCTTCTACCTTTGAAATGGGTAATTTTTCATAATTCCAAGGCTTCAGCTTTGTCAAGAGAGCCCCCTATCTGATAAATTTAGTTCTACAGCACTGCGCTTACTCAACGTATTTTTCTACTTTCAGTGAAAATACAGTTTATGAAAAAATATTTCAGCTTCATGTTGGCAGTCCCGCAGATTTTACAGCAGGTTTGTAACGACAACAAAAGTGGAACAAACACATAAATTCACCTATTTTATAAAGAGAATTCCGACTGCCACAAATACTGTTTTTATTATTATTTCAGCAATAATGTTGTACGTGGTTTTGTATAAGTTTCGTTTCTACAAATTATGCTGTTTAAGCGCATATTAGAATCAAGTAGTTTTTTCATCCGGCCACGTGCATTCATTGATGCCTTCAAGTAAACATGTAATTTTTATGGGTGAAGCTCTCCTTTTATTTTTTCACACCCTGTAGATTATTTTCAATTCTATTCCGGCTTTCCCTAACACAAACATCCTTCAGTAAATATGAAATGGTCATGAAATTTTGTGAGCAAAGAGTGTTTTTGAGGTTTTTACGGGGGAAAATTCAAGTATGTAATCGCTATAAAAATAACTTTGAACTGATTTTTGTGTTCGACGAAAAATAGTTTTGAAGACAATATTTGAGGACATGTGAGGAATCAGCTGGATATCGTCAGATAGAAAATGAAATAATCAGGTATATGATGCACATATAGCCTCATTTTTTACCAACTAGGTGTAATAAATTTAGATATATAGCGCAGTGAATCTATCAGAACTGTAAAGCATGAAAACTAACCTCGCTGGGATACTTTTGCAACACTTCTGATGCCGTGCTCAGGTTACAAGCCACAATATCAGACTCGTTTCCCCACAGATATTTTGAGTAAAATATCTTCAATGTTGAGATATTCTTTGCATAGCGTGCTATGTCCTCGAATTTGCCATTCAAAAATGCCTTTTGAATTCCATCTTTTACTGCGTTACGAACATCTTTTTTAGTACTACCATTGTTCACGTGAAACTCAAATGCCATGAGTAAATAAACACCTCTTGCAATGCCTTGTATATAGTGACGACCCAAAAAGTTTGAGTTCTGCCAGTCTGATCGTGGCGGTGTTATATGTAGGTCAATCTCCTGCTTTGTCTACATGTGAATAATCATATTTGATTTTAAATAATAAAACTTCTGTCAAGAGAACAAAAATATTAAACCCTTGTTATGTTAGGATTTTTATATAACTGCTTCTTATATGATTCTCATTTTAACATTTTCTCAAAGTTCAAAAAGAACTACGAAATAATAGCAGTCCAACTCATTAAATCACACGACTTACAAAGTCAGTAAAAGAAGAAGTCCAAAATCGAACAACTTTATCGCTGTTGTACGTTGATTTGAAAAATTCACCGATGCCACCCAAATCAATCGATCCAGCCATGAGTTGAAGACAAATATGGTGAGGTAAACGAAGGTATGAAACAGCATCAGAAAAACCGTTTATAAAATGGCCGAATTGTAATTGAAAAAATGGATGTTGATATGTGGTTGAGATGTTGCTGACATTGGCGTGGAAGATACTTGGTCCAACCTCAGATTGACACAACTCAAATGAGCTACCAAGTTCCATTCCTCGCATGTAAGGAACACGACGAAGCGTCATTGAAACACTAAACATTTCATAACAAATTCAACAAAATTTACAAAAAAGAAACACTCTACAGTCTCTACAGCAAAAACGACGAGCTAGTTCGATTTGCGTTCTTACCTGGGTAAACCAAACAAAAGAAACGAGATCAAAACTTTCATTTTGAACTAGAGTCGGCACAATAATGATCAAAATAAGACGATTTCCCAGTCAAAGTGAAAGAAGAAAGTTTGTAATTTTTCTCCAAAACGACCTCTCTGATATTACTCTGAAGTCTGAAGTCTGAACTACCAAAGTCTTCCAGTCACACAGTATATATTGTCATCTAGTCACACCTCACCTGGTCTTTGAGACGTTGACATATACGTAAGCTGTTCGTCAACAAGTGGTGATTTGCGTTACATCGTAAATTTTAACCGCCTCGAAGTTCAAGTTTTCGCAAATCCGTCAATAATTTGTATTTGATTTTTATAATGTTAAATGATAGTTGAAAATATTCTTCTGCAAGGACTTTTTCAAAAGACGATCCGTATCTTTAAGCTAAGCCTTTTCCTCTTTTACAATAGTTGTCAACACGGGTGAATGTGTGAACAAATTGAAGGAAGCTGTTTTGAGACAAGACGGATTTGTATAAGTAATAAAACACGGATATATGGTCATAAGTAATTTTACAAAGTTTGAAGTTCCGTTGACAGTGCGCTGAATATGAAGTAAACGTGCATCTTTTCAGAGTTGAGCGGATAGGTATTATTTTCTCGTTGTATTGCAATAACGAACATCACGAATCTCCAACTCCCAAGGAATTCTCACCATATTGATCCTCCCCCTATAGGAGTCCTCACAAACAAAGCTTGGTTGTAATAACAATACCTTTGCTTGTTGACAGCTCGCACGAAGCAAACATAAACATAACACATTACTTGTTCAAAAAATTACTCCTACGTAACAAAAACAAATTACAACAAAAATATAAGACGCAAATTCAAATCAAAAGCACTGCAATAAGCAATTTTCAATTTTTAAGCTACACAGACCCTGGTAGCACGAAAGCCTAGATAGCGCTACTCATTGCACGGTGACTATTTCAAGCGTACTGAAAAAGTGCTAAAATCTATTTCACAGTTATAAAACTCTGTCATATTTGAATTAACTGTTTCTTCCATTGATTGCTCATTCTTAATCGTATATTTCTGCTGACTAAGCGATTTCCGAATACAATCGGAAGAAATGCCACACAATAAATAGCACTATCCAGGTGTCGTTCAACCGACCGCTGGATTTTATCAAAAAATAAGCTCTGTCTGCGTGACATATCTTTTGACATCAAACATACTTGGCTTTGAGCCCTAAGAAGCGTTGATGTTCATGACAAGTTTTTAAGAAATTTTTTGCGATAAAAATATATCCCAACAAAATTGCAAAATATTTCCACTGGTATCCACTTGATCAAATTTAGTATAGACATACACGTCTTCGCGTTCAATTTTGGTTGAGTTTCTATATTACATGTTGATAACATTCATAATAGTTGTGTAGTATTATCTGATCGAAAAACATGTTTACATTTTCCTTCTATAACAAAAGCAAGCAATGCGCTATATGAGTGTCGCTCTGGCCTATTCACAGGCCATAACTTCTAAAGGAAGCCGGGTTAGCGCAACTTCGTAAGAAAGCTCAATACTACGATTAAGAATACAGGCTATGCATGTTACTCCAGCTACAGATGCAACAGACGGCAGAGCTCTTTTAAAATGATATCATGTTTGATATGTTTGAGTAACGTACATCGGAGACACAGGTATGTGAGTACGATGATTAGTCATGCTCGCGTAGAGCACAAAACATGGGTACAACAGCTTTTCATTTTGATAGAAAAAATACTTTAGCTCACACATTACATTGAGCCATTTTTCAAGTTTGACTGAGAGAAGTAGGAAGTTTAATTAGCGAGTAAATGACTGAGAGTAAACAAATATCAACGTTTAATGTCAGTGTATAAGCCATTGCATACTTTATAGCAACTGGTCTTGACATTATTACATAATTATTAAGTTAAAAACTAATAATAAAAATACTAAACAAGTCCTTGGACTCACTAATAACTCAGGTATCAGGAGAATCTCGAGAATCTTGCCCTCTTCTGTTATTATTTACAAACATGGCTCACAAGATAGTATAAATGTTAATGAAATATACTTCCAATTTGTCTAAGCTAATTTCGGTTTTTCGTGTATTTCTGTAAACCACAAAGGGTGGCATTTCCCTCTAATTCTTCAATAAGATCGCCATTTTCAGTTTAGCCATCGACATCCTACAAGTATAGGCACTTGTATAATATACGACAAACAAAAACAAATTCTTCCCAGATTCTTTCTTATTTTCTGGTATAAACCTACAGCAATTCCTAGCTATATACAAATAGTGTTCTGATAGCTCTATCTCAAGCCCAAAGTGACAGAAAGAAAATAACTTCAATAATATACTTTGGCACTTTTCTGGTTATTTTTGTTGCTTTCAAAACAGTATTTGCTAAAACAATATAATAAATATATATTTTAATCGACATTTGCTTTTACTTTGTAATTGCCTTCAGTTGCACCAAGTTGCTGCTTTCCGTGAAAAGGGATCTTACCAAATCGTCTTACAGGTAGGATACTTTTTTCTTTGCATGTAATATCCCTTACTACGTATTATATACGGATTCTCTTGCAAGAACTATTTTCCAGTCTGCTTCCGGTAGCTATTCCTCACATGCATTTTTGGAAACTGACAGCACCGTTTGAAAAACACAAACCTCGTTCGTCAAGAAGATTAGAAGTTGGAAGAAGACGCTTTCCAAAGCAATAAAGCACGCTTTGCATTGCGAAAAATACTACAGCGTTTAAAATTGAAAAAATCCAATTCATGCATGGCGCGAGAATATCTCGGGGTTCCTTTATTAAATACGCTGAAAGTTTGTCGCAAAACTCAAGCCAATATGTCAGTTACTGAATGGAAGGATACATGACAAGTTCTTAGAAACTTTGCATATATATAACAGATAAGGTAACATAAACATTATGTTATCTTATTACTTCTGCGTCAAATATTTTTCTTCGACAAAAATGACAAGAGTGCATAAACTAAGTTTCCATGATATGAGAGCGAACAAAAAACGCACTGTAATTTGGTCAAACAATAAGATTGCTTGACCAATTTTTAGTCAACACCTGATTTGTAAGAAAAATTGAAAACTAGAAAAGAGTTAAATAGCTAGGAGTAGCTATACATACCTGTTCATCGTAGTCATCTGGTAACTTAGGCAACTGCAATGAATTTTCCGTCTGTTCTAACAATGGATGAACCTGTAAATAAAGTTAAAAGCAAAATGAAGAAAATGTTGATTTTGTAAATGTTTCCAATGCTAATACAAATTTAAACTCAATACTCAATGCAGACTATTAACATGGTTTTAATTCTTAAAATAAAAGTTAATGCTTGACAAGGGTAAAAAAAGTTTACGATTCAGATATTGCTAACTTCATGTACTTGCCTCCACCGTGTCAAAAACTTCTTTAAGTCCTTCTAGTTTTGCATTGAGCTTAGCAACCAATGCTTTCTGTTTATCGAGATCTCTGTAAAAAATTTGAGTTAATAAATTATTATCCTTTAATGAGCCAACCGTTTTGAATTGCATGTTACTATAAAGTAGCAATAGTAGACAGCTTTAGCAAACACAACGCGACGTCGACGAGGACGTGAAAATGGCGTGGCACGGCGTGCTTGTGTTTCCGGTAAAGTTTAGGACGGCGTTTTTGTGGATTTGAGGACGTGAAAATGGGTGATTTGACGTCGTGTTCAGGACGTCAGTTCTTACAGTCAATTTTTCCACTTTTGAAGCGGAATTTGTAGGTTTTTTCAAGTTTTTCATAATATTTCTACGGCAAAAGTATTTTTGACATTGCAACTGCAGGAAAAGCTCAAAATATAGAAATTTAAAAACAAAAAACATCGAGCGAGGTTTTTCTTGTATGTTTTTGTATTTAAAACATGTTTCTTTTTGCGTTTGGTTTTACGTTATTTTAGTTAAACACTGCTCTATTTAATTGAATAACTACAAACATAATTTTAAAAATTTTTAACAACTTTTCCAGTCTTTATTGTGGCGAACTTTACTACAACTTTTTTGACTGTTTTTTTTTCACATCGTACATATAATTATTATAAAAGCGACTTGTTTTTAATTAAAATCCTGTAGATATCACATGATAAAGAGTTGATAAAGACATGGCCGATGTCTAAGGTGTCAAAATAAAAGATTTTCATGAAGAAAAAGTACATAAACAAACTAACTTGCTTTTCCAAAACTTTGCTGCGATTCGCCTTCAGTGAGCGACGGAAAATCAAACATATATTGAATTCCAATTCACTATTTTTGAACAAACTTTTGTATTTAGTTAAGAATATGTGTTTTTCACTCGTCTCAATGAAGAAAATAAAGTCTTTGAAAGTGAACTATAAATTTTCACGTCCTCGACTTGCCGTCTCAAAAATGCTAAACCAAAATAAGTTGACAATACAACATCGTCCTCGACCCAGTTCTCCTCAACATTTAGACGTCCTAGTTGACGTCGCGTTGCGTTTGATAAAGCTGTCTAGTAAGTAGAGCAATAGAACGAGTAAGCCGAGTATTTTTTCTTTCACTAAAACGTTAATGAAGCATTTTACAGGAATGGGCAATCTGTATATTGCGCTTGTAGTCGTTTAGTAACCAAAATCAAAATCAGATACGATAACTTACAAATATCAAAAGGAGTGTTTTATTTGCGTAAAGAATATACGTAGAAACGGTAAAGTATAAAATTTTGATAGAAATTTCTCATATGAAGAATTTAATCCGAATGCAGTTGTCACAGCCAAAAGTGAATATGACAAATTTCCCATTTTTACTACGAAAATTGATCAATAACCGCTTTTACTCTATTACTATCACTATAAAGGTTTCATTAAGGTATCTATACGCATGGTAAATGTAATAGGAATCTAGTGATCGCGGCTTTCCGAAATCCTTTATAAACCCTTATTCAGTACCAAGGACTTCTTTGGTACGTAATTTGTGGTCATGTGTATCACATGTTCAGTAATATAAGTCGGCAGTAACGTAGCCAGCCACGGGTTTTGGTTCTGCTATTAAATTTAAGATCATTATCATCATTCATTTCTTTATAAATCTATTGTTTTCACAGTTAGTGAACAACGAACAATTTACACAGTACGACAAAATTTTCGGGCAGGGCACGCAAGTGCAAGTCGGACTGTTCAGTTCTATACTGTGGTTTCACCAGGATAACTATACATATACTTAGACAGAGTACAGTGCGCATCGGATCAATTGTCTTCATATATTTATTGTATTACCTTTGCTCGTCTTCAATTTTTTTCTCAAGAGTATTTACTTCTCTATCTTTCTTGTGATAAGCATTCTTTGCTTGTTTCTATATCAAAACAGAATTTATTAATTCGATTGTGCCTACAATGAACAGACGAATCTGCATTAAAATAATCTTTCATCCGCATTGTCATCAATGGTGTCATAATGCTAAACAGTCATCATCTCTTGATTTTGTAAGAATGAATGCAAACATTATCAAGCATAAAGGCTTTATTCCAAAGTCATCATCAGAGATTATACATAATATAAATCTTGACACGGTTTTTACATGCACATAAAAACATGTGACTTTGACGAGATTTGAACTCGCACCTTCGGGATACTAGTCCACCGCTCTACCTGTTGAGCTAGTATCCCGAAGGTGCGAGTTCAAATCTCGTCCAAGTCACATGTTTTCATGTGCATATAAAAACCATGTTAGGATTTATATTATGTTTAAAGGCTTTATGATCACGATAAGTCATCATTTTGGACATGCGTTAATGTCACAACGATGCTAAGTATTGATGATAAGTATTTATCCTTGACATGTAAATTAGTTTGTTGACTTTCTTACATTTTCTGCTTCCATCTTCTTGTAATCCTCTTTCGTGTAAGGTGCTTTTAAACATTGCAATCTTTCAACAACTCTAAAACAAAAAATTAAACTCGATAAATTAAACAAGGTTCGAAATAGCTTTGATATGAGCAGTCATCTTTATGTTGCAACTCTTCACAATACAGCAAGCAACAATAACAAAAATCATCGAACAGAAAAATCTCAGCGAATAACGAGTACGCCGCAGGTAAATACCTTTGTTTCAATATGATGAGACAATGCTCACTTTCTTCCTCATCTTTTATATTTGCTTCAGCTACCACGTTGCTTTACGTAAAAAATACATTATTTAAAAAAATGTAAACCTGTTTACAAAGAAATCAAAACAAGTAATTGAGAGCATTATAACAGTCATTGTGATCCCTGAGATATCTATTACGAAGTACAATATTGCGTCTCCTATATTGTGAAATGTAGTGTACTCCCAAACCAAAACAAAGAATTCTTAAGACACACAAAGACTCTGAAGTAAAAACTATTTCACTTGCTTACAGAATTACTGAGCTAATGGCATCTTCAACGAAATTAATTGTACGTGCTGATAATGGCTTCCATTTCTGAAATGATTTTTTTGTCACATTCACATCTCGTATTCTGTTAAGAGATGTAGCAACATTCGCTCTTTTTGATATTTTACGTCTACTTTTCACAGTATCTAAAAAGACAAAGGTAAGATTAAACAAAAATATATAAGTAACCAGGAGCAACACATGTCGTTGCATTGCATTTAGAACCATAGTTGCGTAGCAACCGATCTTTATGAGAGAGATATATTAAAACTCCATATTTTGTAAAATAGCCACTACATCACATATTTTTCACAAATTACCGGGGGTCTTTTCATATGTAAACAAACTCAACATTTAGACAGTAATGGCGGCTGAGATTTCTACATTGCAAATAAGTAACTGCAACGATGTAACATCGAAGACTCAGGTTACTACATATAAAATAGGGCTCCATAAATATCTGAATCGTTGTGGTGGCATTGGAGGCTAATTTTGCCATAACATGTGCTCCGTAAAACGTTGTGGTGAAACAATTTTCCATGCAGTTTACAATGGAATTTTTGGCGTTTAAAAAAGTACGAGCTTAGAGCCAGTCCCCTTTAGACTTACGTTCTGAAGAAACTGAAGAAACCTCCGCATTTGATGACGCCTTCTTCTAGAAATAATACAAAGACATTGCTTATGATTTTGTAATTGACGCACAACGTTTTTACTGCAAAAAAAACACCTCATTATACGAATTTGCTAAGTTTTGACAATTTGAATTGTCAATAACCTACGTGCGAATGCGGTACAATGGTACGTTGTATTGCGTGCTTATGACATCAACTATCGTGATTTTTTAAGGCAGCGAACAAATTATTTACGGTGTAATTGCATGCGCAAAAGCAATATACTTCAGCATTCTCTTACATGACGTTTTTCCTCCTGACTTTTAATATTTTCTAGCTCATTCTCATTGGACATTTTACGTTTTCTACTTCTCGACGATTCGCCATTACTTTTTGCCAACCTCCGACTTGATATGCGGCTTGAATTTGATGATGCGAGGTTAACTGAACTCGCGTTAAGATTCACAGTAGGATCACGTGGTAAATTGTCTGATTCCTGGAGTAATTTTTTACCATTGTGTGAAGGCTTTATAAAGGAGTCTGCGTGCTTTACTTTTGAACTTTTTTCACTTGCTTTTGTGTTGCCCTGATTGTTTTTCTAAAAATTGTGAATTTTATGAGATTTTTATAACCACTTAAACAGAAATTTAGAGAGACTTTAAGTGTTTCCCACATATATAGTTGCCTTCATACATTAGAAAGGTCGAGCTATCAGATGCATCCAAATGGAAGCAAATATCAAACTTGACACAACATCTGGAAACACATGCTGGGGTCAAATAACATATATACGTATATGTTATTTAACTGTATCTACCCAAATAAATACATAACTGATAAATAACAGCAAAGCTGTTTGTGCTCAGCACTTCTTCAGTTTGATTATATTCGCTTACTTCTTTCCGCAAATGATTTTACTATGCATAATTAACTTTTATAATTTTTAAAGGTTGTAGCTTTTGCATAGTAAGCATATTTATCTTAACATGTATTCATCAGGCAGTTTTATTTCTGAATACAATATTTCAGCCCTGGCTGAAAATGATGCACTTCAACATGTTACCACACAATGAGCAATGTTTAAAACATATCTCTTGAATGAAATATTTCAACTGAGGAAATTGAAAAATCATTTGAAACAATCCTTTCAAGCCAATCCGAAAACTGTGTGATAAAATTTGCTGTCATAACACTTTCGTTTAGGCGACCAGAGTTTTTTGTTGGGGTAAAATAACTACTGAAAACCTTTGAAAATTTTTTCGCAAAAATTTTAGCAACATACAGGAAATCTTTTGGAAATATTGAGCAGATTTGGAATACCAGGGTTGCAGAATGTAGATAAGTCTTAATACATTGTGATTTGTCTTCAGAAAGTATATAATAAAATTTAGAATCTTACAGGGAACCCCTAAATGCATTGTGCTAATGCCTTATTATGCTTATATTATCTGTTAAAATTTTTGCAAGTAACTACAATTTTTATTTAACAGGAAATTTCTGTTTTTGAAATTTGCTGTCAGGAATTGAAAAACTTTGTCCTGTGGTGAAAGAGAGAATCATAGGCCCTTAGATTAACATTTCTATTCATTTTTTTAAAAATGTAAGGATTGTCATAAAATCCTTCAAATGAATTCATTTGTTGAAACAATCGACAGTTCACTCTTCATTCTGATGAGCTAACTTGCCTTTATATTTCTTAAATTAAGTGGATTTTTTAATAATCATGCCAGGTATTTCATTACATTAAAAACTTGTCAGACAAATTGAAAGGATACAAAAAAGATCTTTACATGTGCATTATCTATCTCCCACTTAACTCACAAAATTGCACTGTTCAAACTGCCTCTAAAACTTTTGCATACATATAGCAGGGATCTTCAAAATAACCTTTTTAATTCAGTCACTAACAGAGAGAATCACAAAGTTTTTAATTTACCACCTTCTAAAGTTGCATATAATTATGGCCTAAGGAGTGGTAACCATTTTAATATTCCAAAATAAGGTATGAACAGATTTAAAGACTTGTTGGTCTTATCAATGTATAACTTTACTGTAGTATCACAAGTAGATTCTTAATATTTCATATTCAATCTTTTATTTTTAAAATAACATTTTCATTTAATTCAGTTTTTTACATCATGTAATTCAGCCATATGGCTACTAAATGAAGATTTAAAGAAAGATTATCGAGCTATCTATCTAAATATATTTGATGATAGGAACCTGCAAAATGCCAAAGGAGCAGTGTTTTATAACATTCTGTGGGGTGGTGTGAATTTTTTAGGAGCCCATGGGTTAATTTGGTCTAATTTTTTCCAACTATACAAATATATCAGTATTTACTAATGAATAAATGAAATTGGTGATGATAATAATGACCTAAATTTCATATTTTGAAATTTACATGACTAAATTTGCTAACACACCACTCATGAGTAAATTGCTTGCGATAATTGTTGTGATATTGTTGTGTCTACCTTAACATAGCTTGATTTTTTTCCTGGGGGTCGACCAACTTTCCTGTGAGTTTTTTTTCCGGAAGCAGATTCCACAAAAGAAGTCAATCTAATGCTTTTCTCAAATAATGGAGATTCCTTTCCCTCTTTTTGATGCGATGAGGATCGATTATGAGCATTGGCCTTTCTTGGTGTTGAAGTTATGAATCCAGTAAAACTAGATGATGTAGCTTCATAATTTGAGGCATCATTGCGAGAATTATTCCTTGCTGATTTCAACTTTCGTTTCTCAAGAGGAGTCCTGAATACAACAGACTTTGCTCTTCTTCTTGGCATATTTAATAGAAGCAGCCCTGCTGTTTCGGGTCATCTTTCATTTAATAATGAAAATAAACTCACGAATCGATCTCTTTCCTCCATATTTTGGCGCCATCATTCAACTTTTGAATAAACTACTATTACTTTTGCCCAGAAATTTGAAGTATCGTTACCAGTCTTTCAACGCAAAATAAGAATTTCAGTTTTTCGAAGAGACCGTGAAAAAAAACTGAAAATAAATTTCAGTGTTTGGAAATGGAAATGTATGCAAGAATGAGCTGCAGAAATTTATTTTGACCTACCCTTACCATAGATTCACCATTGATTTTGAAATAGTTGTGCCAAACATGATATCCTGACTAAAAGATAATTACATATGTGCTGATATTGACTGAGATACCATCAACAGTGATAAACCATACCCTTAATTTCTTGTCATCTGCTTTTGTCGAAGTCATTTTCACAACTGTGCTTGGGTTTCAGCTGTTGTTATTCAAGGTAATACATACTCAACAGCGCAATCATTAGTGGTTCTTGATTTTCAGATGAAACAGGACATTAAAAAACAAAACGGGAATATTTTTGTATACTAAAATAATTGCTTAATTTTATGTCACCAAATGTCTCCAAAGTGTGTTTTTTTTATTGCATTGTAAGGCTATTTAAAATGACTAAATACCCTCTTTAATAGAATTGTATAGTTTCCTTTTGGAGATATGCAACTATTCTTCAATATGCAAATTACATATTTCTGTCATTTATACTTGTCTCACATATCTATCGTTTCTCACTGTTTTGAGGACATTCTTCAAACGACTCTTTATTTTATTTATGTGCAAGGTTTTTCGTGATTCAAATTATGTCTGTTAACATTTTTCGCCCTTTTCTTTTTGTTAGAGTATTTCATAATTTATAAACATGTTAAGCTATCTGTGGTAGGCAATATGCTTTGTGTTCCTTGTTCTTCTTATTTTTATTATTCTCATTTCCTCATGCTCATATTCTCATTTCCTTCTTTCTAGATGCCTTGAAAACCTGTTCAAGAAATAGCAATGTTGTTTCTCAAGCCTGAAGAACGTGACAACTGGGGTGTAGCCTGGGAAGAGCAAAGAAGACAACTGTACCTTGTTTATAACAATTTTAAATTGGCAGCAATATTTATTTTTTATGACATGCCCCAAGTGACTTCCCTTTCACAAATCTTGTCTACGCCCCCAGTAAGAAATAACTCCACGTTTATGCATACCTTGTGGTATAGGGGCTCCAGGAGGGTGGTGGCTGACGTGACATTGTCTGTACTGAAGCCAGCTGTTTTTTACTGAATAATAAGTTTACTGTAAAATTTCCATAGACGAAGTAAAAGATTGCAGCGTTTCGTTGTTATCATAATAGTTTGTTTGGGAAGGGGCTCATGTTAAGTCACTGTAGTGCGATTTCTGCCGTTTGTCTGAACGCTCTACGTACTTATAACAACTAGCTATCTGGTGAGTATTTGGTCAGAATGGGGACGATCCAGGCAGGGTCATTGCTGTGTATAATGCAGCTCTTTTCATTTCTCAGTGAAATTGACCAATGTTAGCTACTTCATCCATTTCACCTCGTGGCCTTAGGAATTGATTTCGTAGCCCATCCCCTAATAATCTTGAAGTTTGTAGCTTGTTCGTATACTTTAGGAATGTTGACGTTGTTTATTGTACTTCAGAAATATGTTATTTTGGATTACATCACTAGCATTTATGTGCAAAAAAGAAGACACTACTACACACCTAGAATTTAAGCCCTTTTTAGGTTGTTGATAATGAATTTGCTGTTTCGATTTGAAAATTGGCTTGTCTCTGTTTTCTCAATTAAAATTAAATATTGTCGGTTAGTCATTGATTTTAGTTCTATATGTTGCCATGTATATATTCACTTACTCATTGTCATAGCATTTCAATTTTAACAAGTGCATCCATAAAATTATTTTGTGAGACAAGTCGTAACATGTTTGCTTTAAAAGTAAATATTGGCTCATACTAAATACATGGAAGGCTACGTCCCTTTGTCAGTAGATATTTTGAAGCCAGTAGAACCCAGTCTTTCCACGCATTGTAAACACACGGCCAATAGACAGAAGCGAAAAAATAACTTGTACAAACTACGACGCTCCAAAAACAAACACAAATTCTTTTTTGCCTTAATTTAGCAAACAAACTTTCACAAATGAGACTTAACAAGTATACACAACTTTTAACAATTACATTTTTGTAAAGGAAGCCATAACGGGCATGGCCAACCATTACTAGAAGGCACTTTGTGGTTGTTGTTTGTTTTGGTATGTCTGCAAATGGGCCAAAAACTAAAGCATTATGGTTTCAAAGTAGCATAGAAAAGCACATAAAATTCTAAACAAACATCAGTTTTGTAAATGTATTTCTACCCAAAACAATTATTATTAGTGTTACTCCGTGGACGTTCAAAAACGCAATTTTTAGTTCAACCTTACATGAGATTTGGTTTAAAAATATAAGTTAGATAATATATGACAATACTCGTCATATCCTCCCAAATTAAGTGCTTCTGTAAATAGATGCACGTACAAATATTTCATGGTGAAGGATGCTTGCTGGAGTGTTTCCGATTTGTATAAATTGAACGATCAATTTCCACAGTTGATATTTTCCATTTCGAAATAGGTTTTCAATAGTAAGCATCATAATTCACAGTAAAAATGTCAAGCTCCATCACCTTTAATGCCACAATACTTTCTACAAATATTCTTTATTTCGCGTTTCTGGAGGTCAAATTTGGCTTCAAAAAATTATTTGGCTTTTATATTACCGGTAGCCTTCCATTTATTATAGTTTAATGATTTGTCATAAATTTCAGAAAGTTTACGTCTCATAAAAATTTCTAGTGCAATATTTCCTTAACCGGGTCGTCGGACAAAAAAAAGTTTATAAGGAAGCTTGTTAGGAAATTTTTTTGCAAGTGAGTTAATTTTAAACATCGATGAGATTCAAATATGCTGTAATCTTTAAAGTTTTTTTCAATAATGCTTTTAAATACATACTCCATGCGAATTCCATATTACAAAATAATCAAAACTCCACTCATGCCTAATCAACATATCTTATGCTGTAGTTATATGGTAAAAGGTGAGCTAATTATGTTTATTAAAAAGTTCATCTTGCTTTTTTGCCTTCATTTATGGTTTGAATTAAAGCATGAGGATGATCCTACAGTGATTTGTGTTTTTGCCTTTTAAAATTCAATGTGGGTCATTTCATCAAATATATGTCAATAAACAAAAATTGTGCAGAAAAAAACGTAACAAGCCAAAACATCTTCATTCTTTCTTCAGGAGAAGTGACAATTGCGCACCATGCTGTCATCGATCTGAAAGGCAGTGCGGCAACCAGGGCCTTAGTGAAATCTTTTCCTTTTTATGATTTAATCTTACATCATTTACCGTCAAAATTCAAAAGGTAGAGACCTAAGATCGTCAGTCTTTCTTCAATTGCTAGCACGTGAAGTTAGACAAGGAATTCCAAAAGCATTACCAAAAAACATCGTGAATTATCGCAGTGTACTGCCAAATATATATAATAGACCAATACCATTAATACATTTTTACTTTAAAAAATTTGAACAAGTGCAACTCTTGACAGTAGCAAATTATACGTAAATTCCAATTTTTTTAGCCTTTACAATCAGGTGTAGTTGAGTTTCTTGATAGGGAAGTAATTTCAACGGAAGCGGAAGTCTGAGTACGCAAAGAATCATTTTCCACCTCACCACTTCGTACTCTTTTTCATTAAGAACTATTACATTATTATTTTGACCATTAACAATGGTATTTGCTCTTTTTAAAAGAATTTTTAATTGATAATAGTAGGAGGGTTACATTCTGATGTCTCAAAAAGAAAACCTGAAAGCTATTCAATTAAACTGTAAACCTAGATCACCAATTAGAGATTTCATAAATACTCGTTCGAAAAAGACATGCAGACAGAAACCTAAAATAATGAATCTGTTGTCGACACACGCATAATATTATACCATTAACTTAGGCAACTTATGTATAAATATTTCTAATTAACTGCAAATTTTAGCTGCATGTGCTCAACTTCATCATGGCTCAAAAGATTTTTGAACCATGATACCTCCTGTCCAGGACATGCATGAATAATATACGTATATAAATCCTTTCAGACAGTATAAGCGTATAAGTATATAGAAAGCATATGGAACAAAGAATTACGAAGGCTGCAGAGGGAAAAACTTCTTTGATGAACAAAAAACAACAGATTAACGGAAAAATAAAACTGTAGAGATACGTAATCAAATTATTTTAATGAACTAACAATATGTTTTAATATCCACACAAAACAAAACGAAATTTTACACAACAGTGCATTATTGCTCAACCTTTGATATTAGTTTTACCATTTACCATCAAGTGACGATACTGAATGTAAAACTTATATGGAATGCCCCAATATTTACCAGTCCAGTACAAATCTCGTAACAACTTAAACTGATCTTTTTTTGCGGTAAAGCGATTAAAATCCAAATTTGCAACAAAATTTTGAAATGCTTTGTCGTACCCCATCACTTTTTTTCTCAACGATTTTAGACTCTTTTGCATAGCTAATGGATTATCTTCCTTAAGTGTTTCGTTTATAGCTGTTATAGTTAGCTTTATATCGTAGTACGCTTTTGCTGCTTGCTCCATGTTAACGTAGAAGTCACGAATGAGGGAGAATTTTGGAGCTTCATTAAAGAGATTACTAATTTTTTTCACCCAAACAGAGATTGGGATACCATTCGTTGGAGAAGCCTAAATAGCATGAGAAAAAGCATGATAAAAAGTGAAAAAAACAACTAGTATAAACTTCAGATGTCCTATGACGTATTAAATATGTTACATTAAGGAGGTCAAGTTATTTTATTGCAGGGAATCTGTTATTGGTAGGAAATTAATATTATTACAGAAAATCCTTTGAATAATGGCTTAAACTATTGCGGATGCAGTTTACAGTACAGTTCCTGAAACTGTATTGTTAACTGCGCTTAAGTCTGGAAAGCCTTTAGTCATCATTTCTGACTAACTTTACTTAGTTGACAACTTGCTTATCGTGCTAAAGAAGCATCATAAGGCTTGTCTCTTGGCAGTCGCTTCTAAGTTTAACTAATCACGTCAAATTGTAAATGCATGCAATGATTTGTGTAAAACGTTGGTCGTCGTAAAGAGCATGTTCAGTTGCAATCTTTATAGCGATAACCATGCATTTCATTTGCTAAAAATGTTTGCAATGGCATGTTGAGGAATCAAAACTAACCTCGCTTGTATATCTAAGCAACACTTCTTTTGCCGAGGTCAGGCTATAAACCTTCACAACATCAGACTCATTTCCCCAAAGACATTTTGTATAATATATCTTCAACGCCGAAATATTCTTTACATAGCGTCCCATGTCCTCAAGTTTGCCATTTGCAAAAGCAAGTTCAGAGCCAGCAGTTACTGCTCCACGAACTTCTTCCTTTGTACTGCCTTTGTTGACGTAAAATTCGAATGCCATTAGTAAATGGGCACCTCTCGTAATACCTTGTATGTAGTGAAGACCGGAAAAGTTTGATTTCTGCCAATCGGATCGTGGTGGTGTTTCATAGTTGTCTATTGTCTGTACCGACTATGTGCATAAATGAAAGTTGTTAATAATGAAATTTGCATGAGCCCTTTCTGACAACCAGACATTCTAGCATTAACTTTTAAATACGCTTAGAATGTTTGAAGTGTATATCTTGAAACAACATATCATGGTGTTCAGTTTCTCCTTTTGTTATGAAGATGAATATGTGACAATTATGACATTGATAATTTTAAAATCAATTTTTTTGAATAACACGACTTACCAATTTGACAAAAGAAGAAGTCCAAAGACGAACAACTTTGTCGCTGTTGTAAGTTGATTTGAGAAAATGACCTATACCACCCACATCTAGTGATCCAGCCATGATTTGAAGACAAATATGGTAAGGTAGTTGGAGGTATGAAACAGCATCAGAGAAACCGTCTATAAAATGGCCGTAGCGAGATTGACTAACGCGATAGCGACGTATTGACGAGAGTTTGCTGACATTCGCATGGAAGATATTTGATCCAACCTTTGATTTGGACACGTCGAATGCACTTCCAAGTTGCATGCCTCGTATGTACGGCAAACGACGAATCGACGTCACTGAAATACTGAACGTTCAAAATCATATTAAAAACGAGATGACTCTATAAGCATGACACATTTGTAAAAAAAATTTCTCAGGCACGTTCTCACCATGGAAAATGAAACAAAAGTAATAAGATACATAAAACCTTCATTTTAAATATGCGTCAGCACAATACTAAACAAAACAGATGAAAGTGAAGCACAAAATATCTTCGCTTGTGTTAGAATTTTCTCCAACTGATTTTGTTCTAACTCAATTGAATGATTAAAATCTTCCCATCAAATTGTATTTATATAGTTATCCAGTAACACCTCACGCCGTCTTTTACCGCGATTTAAACGAATTTGCCGACAATTAAGCGGCGGTGATTTGGTTTAGATCTCAAATTTTTGACACCACACAATTGCAAATGTCGTTATATTTTTATGTCTGCTTTACTACACAAATAGAATTTTAACTGAATCATATGCTTCTACAAACCAGAAATGCAGTAAATGACTGACACGAGGCTCCTTTCATAAACAAAATGCCGCAGCTTAGATGTGGTCTTCATACTTTAGTCGGGATTTTTACAAAATTATTGTTGAAATGTTCCTAAGATATTTCAAACTACGATTTTCAGGGAAAACGTTTCCTCTTTCACACCAAATGAGCTGAATGATGCATACGCAATCAATTGAATAGTAAGTATATAATGTCATAAAATAAAGGCAAGGTATTTAACTGGTTTTCCCGTTTTAATTAATGGCAAACTGGACTTTCTGCTTTGTTTCACATCTTCATAATATCTAACATGAATCTTGCAAAACACGTAAAACGTAATTTCGACCAAAGATCCTTGTCATACTATAGAAAAGTACTTTTAAATACAGCCGTAATTTATCAGTGTCCTCGCTTACCTGGGCAAAAGATATAAATGCAGCGGCAACGACAGTTGAAATATACTTCCTACATTATTGTCCACAGTACCTGCATTTCCACCATCAACTCGCAGTTCCACTTACTCATCTTACAAAATGATTAAATTTCTCAACTCTTACTAATACATTTATTTCTCCTCCCCCTCTCGACCTCCCTCCCATTCAAAAACATTTCAAATTTTTACGTTCATTTATGGTTTGAATCAAATCATGGGTACATTTCCCACAGTAATTGGTGCCTTGGCTTTTCAACATTTAGGTAATGTGGGTAAAATAAATGTCAGTTGACCAAACCGTTTAACTGGAGGTGTGTAACGAACCAAAACGTCTTCATTATTTGCTCAACTGATCAGATGCATGACGGTTGAAACTTTTGCACAACAGTACTGAGTGTTTTTGGTACTGTTGTTCATTCGCATTGCGATCGGTGCCTTTGCATTTCGCTGCAACCGTTACTCTCGGTGATTTCCTGCGCATCTATTATGGTCAACACTCAACAGGGCGGCAAAATATACGTATGTGAGTCAAAACATCCCTACGCGTTGTTCAACTGTTGACATGTGCAGTTGGACACGACAATGAATAAGCATTGTCAAAATACATGCGACATGAACTTCCTAAGAGGAAAATTGGAAGACCATTTGTACATTTTTACAGTTAAATATTTGAGCAAGTGCATCGATTTTGAACAGTAATTATCTATTCCAATTTTGTCGAAGTTTGCTATATCATGTGCACGATGCAGGGCGAAGTAATTTAAGTGGGAGGAAAGTCTGAGTTCCTTGAGACTCATATCTCGTAGAGACGTAGACGATATGTTGATGACAAGCTGCTCTGTTTGTCATGCAAAATAGTAAAATCATTCGTCAATTAAGTCGATCACCTACATACTTTTATTCAAAGTAGCAAAAAAATGAACTGCAACAGATCAACTTTTCAAGAAAACAGATTTTATTTAAAAGAAGAATTCAAATTGATTTTCGTTTGCACAATAAAGGAGTAGATAAAGAATAAACACAAGATAATTGATAACAGACTGTTCTAATGGATTTGGTCATTTCAGCCATCTACAAAAATAAGAGAAAATTTTGTAACTGCTAATTTCACACTCGAAAATGGCGCATGTTGATCTTTTTTTAGAATTTATGGAGCCACTATCGGTAATTTTTAGTGTGAATGTGTAATTCAAAATGTCATCATTACACTTTTCTTTAGAAACACATTGCTTTTGCCACAAAAGAAGAAAAATCTGCTTGACAGAGATGGCTATGTAAGTGTTTAGCTCGATGTAAATTTTTATTTTAACGTTCATATACAAACACGTTGTACACATAAATTAACCATGTTACTAGAAAGATTGAAGAGTTAATTCCAATAAACTTTTTCATGTTTAAATCAGTTTTGCTCCCACTGCCATGACAAAATAGGTGTACATTTCAAACACTTACTTTTCAAGCACAGACAACTGTGCTAACAGGTTCAACCAAGTGCTTCCCTTCACTGCGGACGCTTTTGAATGGGCAGCCTTCACTCTTGTGAAAGACAGGACAATCTCCAAGCTTCTCTTCAAGAGCCTGAGATTCGCTGTGCATTTTTTTGAGCATTTCAACCAACTTCGCACCAGATAGCTGTTCTTCGTGTCCAGCGGCATGAGGAACCTTGGACAACATGTCGTACACCTCGTCGAGGCTCCTGACATTTTTAAATGGACAACCTTTTAAGAACTCGGGGCAATTTTTTAGTGCTTCTTTCATGGCTGTGTCTTCAACTTTTATAAATGGACAGCCATCAGTAAAAGCAGGACATTGTTTTTCTAAATCCTGGGCATCAACTTTCTTCAGTTCATGTTTTACTTGCTACAATGAAGAAAAACCAAACGAAATGAGTGGAAACCAAAATGAAAGGAGCTTTGAAACTACCTAAATTAAAGAATAGAGCGCAAACAAGACTTTTCCCACGCAAGTTTCTGAGAGAGGGATGTCATATGTGGCTGTAGCTAAATTTACTACCATGCATTAAGGTAAGACAGGAATCTTGAACTTTGCATAATTATTTTCAATGATTTATGAAAAGAAGTCTGCAGTGTGAACAATCCACACTTGTACATTCCAATAATTAACGTGTTACAAAAACAAAGTTAACCGCGTCCACAGTGCATTAAAGCTAGAGACAGGAAGCTAGACAAACTGCTTTGGAAAATTAAATGTTGGCAAAGGTCAATATATATCCTATAGATAAACTCATTTGCATGTATTCTGAAAACACATTTTGAAGAGATCTTCGTAAGTTTTGAAGAGGACGGTAATAAAACACGGCAATGCAATGTCACATGTGGCAATATCTTATATAAGTAATCACGTTTCATTATACGTGTCAATCGTGATTAAAAATTCACACGCGTGTAAAAAGATCCAAGAAAGATTTGATTGGTTTATAAACTTCGTGTCAGTCACGCGTGATTTGGGGTGATCTCACGACATTATAAACTAAAGCTACCACTGCTGTGAGGGGTTTTACGTATCTTCCAGATCAACTGGCAATTTTTAAATCCAAATATTAAGTAGGAAATCAATGTCATTAATAGATATCATTGCGAGTTGAGGATATGTAGCTAGTATCACGATAGCACAAAATTAGGAAAGTTAATTGTTTAGTCTTGTTTACTCTTTGTACGCCATACGTGTATAAAACATGCAGCCAAAAGAAGCACTGTCTCAAGTCACAATACATGCAGCATGCCGTTTGTAGGTTGGGGTTATCGAGGGGCCGTAAAATTCGTTAAAGGACGTCGTCACAGACTTTTTAAAGAGTACGTTTTCAAAAGATAAGATAAGTAGCTTTTCACACCGAATTAACTTACAATCTCTATTTTAAAAACACAAAATAGCCTTTTTTCATTTTTTGCTTCTACCTGATCATGGGTGACAGCCTCTACTGGTTCAACAAGATGTTTTCCATCATCGACTCGAACATCTTTAAATGGACAACCTTGATCTTTATGAAACACTGGACAGTCTCCTATCTTTTCTTCAAGATTTTCAGAAGTATCATGCATACTCTTGAACATTTCCACCATCTTCTGACCAGATATTTCATCATTATTACCAGTTTTATGTGGAATTTTTGACAACTTGTCGTAAACATCAGAAACACTTTTTGCTTCCTTAAACGGACAGCCGTTCTGGAACTCGGGGCATTTCTCAATCGATTTGATAAGCTCCTTTTGTTCGGCTTTGGGGAAAGGACAGCCTTCTTTAAACGCTGGACATTTTTGCTGCAGTTCACTGATATCTACAGTTGTCGTCTTTTTTTCAGATGGCTAAAACAAAATAGTAATTACATTATTAAAACGCTTACAAAAGTATAAAATCTACCAATGAGCAAATCCAAGCAATCACAAAAGAAACAACATAAAGTTCCCCATAAAACTATAGCAGCTAAAGACTCCAACATGAGGATTAGGAGATCAATAAAAACTGGAAGCAAGGTATGATACCGAGGTATTTTTCATGAACATTAAATTCTTTATTCTCCATACTATACCATGGACCTCAAGGAAAGTAAAGTATATTTTGAATTTTGATTTACTAGCAAGTTCTTACTTTTGTGATACCTCTATATATATCAATGTTTGGATTATAAATTATTATATAATCTTGAGATAATACATGGAACATCAACTTAAGAAAAATCACATGATCACAAGAATGACTTTTCTTAGGAATATGTAGCATCACCAACAATTAAATAATATTTCCATATGATAAACAGTAAAAGGATAAGGTGTGATAAAATATTAGTGATATTTACATGGCATGTTTGCAAGTGTGATAGAGAGAAATTAAATTTCAATTGGAAAATGGAAATTGCAATTGGAATTTACAATTGGAAAATGCATGGTGTTGTTAATATTATACCACACTTTATCCTTTCATTGTTTATTAATTATGATGCATCATGTATCCTACTACATATTTATCATTGTAAATAATTTACTTCATTCTTATACTGAAAATGACTTAATGTCAGTCGAAACATGGTATTCATAAACAGCTTTTCACACCAAATTCATTTACAATCCTTATATTTCAAAAATGCAAAATCGAGTATGCTTCATTTTTACTATATATATAATTAGCCTTTTTTCATTTTTTGCTTCTACCTGATCATGGGTGACAGCCTCTACTAGTTCAACAAGATGTTTTCCATCATCGACTCGAACATCTTTAAATGGACAACCTTGATCTTTATGAAACACTGGACAGTCTCCTATCTTTTCTTCAAGATTTTCAGAAGTATCATGCATACTCTTGAACATTTCCACCATCTTCTGACCAGATATTTCATCATTATTACCAGTTTTATGTGGAATTTTTGACAACTTGTTGTAAACATCAGAAACACTTTTTGCTTCCTTAAACGGACAGCCGTTCTGGAACTCGGGGCATTTCTCAATCGATTCGATAAGTTCCTTTTGTTTGGCTTTGGGGAAAGGACAGCCTTCTTTAAACGCTGGACATTTTTGCTGCAGTTCACTGATATCTACAGTTGTTGTTTTTTTTTCAGATGGCTAAAACAAAATAGTAATTACATTAATAAAACGCTTACAAAAGTATAAAATCTACTAATGAGCAAATCCAAGCAATCACAAAAGAAACAACATAAAGTTCCCCATAAAACTATAGCAGCTAAAGACTCCAACATGAGGATTAGGAGATCAAAAAAAACTGGAAGCAAGGTATGATACCGAGGTATTTTTCATGAACATTAAATTCTTTATTCTCCATACTATACCATGGACCTCAAGGAAAGTAAAGTATATTTTGAATTTTGATTTACTAGCAAGTTCTTACATTTGTGATGCCTCTATAAATATCGATGCTTAGATTGTAAATTATTGAATAATCTCAAACATGATAAAAGGATGACATTTCTTAGGAATATGTAGCATCACCAACAATTCAAAAATAACTCCAACAAATGTAGCATAATTCTTAAAACAAAGGAATACACGCGAGTCCTAAACTGTGCATATGCAAAGCTTGAGTGCAACATGCAACATACTACATTAGTCCTATATCACAGGAGATATTTCCACCTCAAAAATTGTTGCTCCCCCCACTTACATGTCACCCCATTAGTAAATTTGTCTCGCACCCCTCCACTTCAATTGAAATAAAAGTTTTGAAACAAAAGTTTTTTAAAAATAGCATGCGCTTAACCAAGTATTACAAAAGCGGGTTGGTTCCTGTTATTGTGTTTTGCCAATAATGGAGCACATAAGTCAAAAAATAGTTTGTTGTTTGTCTTCCAATGGTGTTTGAAGCATGAGAGAGCACTGAGATATCTATACAATGCGGATTGTGTTTGTGGAAGGTGTTTTTGAAATGCATGAGTCATTCATTTTTGTATTTGTAATGGAATGCTCTGAATCAAATCTATCGGATTGGAAAGTTGCATTATTTATTAAACAGTGGCATCACAATCGCGAGGTCCGTGACTTCTAATGGCAATAATAACTCATCTGTGGGTAATTTTTAACGAAATTTCAATACATTATTGCTAACTACACCCAAATCACAATGCCACCACCCTACAATTTGTATATTTCCTACAAATTATTTCTATCCAAGTAATTCTTGAATGGTTGATGCGTCCTATTACTGAATAACTATTTTTTTTACTTGGTTGCCAAGAACAAACACTTATAATACATCATGAATTTTCACAATATATAGTGGCTTTCATTTTTGGAGTTGATAATAAAGAGCACGCATTTTAAAGGCTGGCAGAGTGAGTGCTTAGCATCAACTTCACACAAACTGTTCTGTACCAAATGGACTTCAAGCTAACTTTTTTCACACCCGCGACTTTCTTTCTACCAGCGATTCCGAGCGCTATAATCGGATAGATACATTTCTTCTTACCTCAGGATTTGACGACATTTTTCTTCACCGTCTATCGTCAGAACTCAGAATTCTAAATGTGTTAAATAATAAGTAAGTTGACAACCAACTGCATTGAACAAGGTTTCAAGTACAAACAATGGAATATAGCAATAAGTGAACTTTTCTATATAGTATTTGTAAATTGTAATCCTAAGACAGTTCACATCCAATTGAAACGATACTACAGTCAGAATTTGCAAAGTACGCGGTAAGAAATGTCATTACTTCAAAGATTGTCTGTAGCAGAATGGTACTTGTAAAGATGAGATTTATTTTGATGAAATCTGACTCTCGAAGTAGCTACAGACGCCGGAAACAGATTTTAGCTGTTGGGTAAATAGTTTTCAACGAAAATACAAAGAATGTCTATCTACGTGTATGCTTTCTAGCTGACTCGTGACGCTTTTGTTTCATCGATCGACTTAAAACCTAAATCATATTTTCTCTAGTGGCGTAGAACTTTAAATTTCTCCATTTGATTAAACCTTATTTCTTCGTATGATACGCTCTATAAATTATAGCACAAATATGAAAATTGTCACTGACTCTACGTTATGTAACTTTTAAATTAATGTAAATAGCCCAAGCCTAACTTTGACGCAATTAAATGATTGTTTCGCGAAAACTTTACTCATTAATTCTGCTAGAGTGTGTAATAAATACCGAAGAGCATTTGTAGCTCATTTCATCAAACGATTAATATCCTTCTATTCATTGCTCAACTATTTGCCTTTTAAGATGACCGTACCACACAATGCTACAAAACGTCCTTCATGAAAATTTAAATATACTATAATGTAAGTCTTAATTTGTTTACTACAACATTGAAATTGTGGCATAGTACTGAACAAAGACTGTCTGCAACACAAGTCATGTGAATCTCTTCACTAAACCAATGTAGTGACCGTACCTTATCTTGACTGCAGTGAAACACTGTGATGGCACGATTGAGACACTTTAGTGACACGACTTTTACAATTCTATTATCAAGAATCGAAACAAGTCAGTAATGACACAATGACTGCGTCAGGAAATCAACAAGAAAGGAATAATCGCCACATTATTTGAATTGCAGATTTGATTTCGTCACTTTGTAATAACAGGAAGTGATCGAATGTCAAAAATTTGAAGACACATTTTATTTCTATAAAACAATTTTGATACTAACAATTAAGAAATAAAAGATGTTTACTGCGTTTGCAGTTTGTACAGGCTTATGCAAACCGAGGAAACCTTTGGGAGAATTCGAGAGCAGATCAGTGCAAGCCCGAGACCGAGTGTTGCACATGCTCGAGAGTTCTCACAAACGTCTCCGAGGTTTGCATAAGCCAGTGCAAACACGAAAAACATCTTTTATTTCTTTTATAAAATTAAATAATGCGAAAAGACAAGCATTTTATTTTTTTCTTCTTAAATGTATTCATGATCGATTTGCAAATTATCTTTGACTGATTGATTGTTTAGATTGATTGATTTGATTGTTAAGTTCAGATATGTTTTGCACTGACTAATGAAAACTCAGCTCTAGACCAATCAGCGCACGCGTTTCATTGTGTTTATTTTATAATAGGTGATGGAGCATTTGAAAAAAACGGAGTCGAGCTAGCGATTTTATCGGTATTATAATAAATTCATTCCAATGTTTTTTGTTTGTATGACGTCATTCATAGGCAGCTTTTTATTTTGGCAATGTCAGTTAATAGTTAATGCAACTCAAGTGGAGTTAGCCAGTCATGACTGGTAGATGATCTGATATTTCAGGCTGTCCGAATATGTTAAACTGATATCTCTCTCTTAATGAGAACAGTTTTTTCGTTGTAGTTGCCTTGCCCTTACCGTCGTTTTAAACGCCTCTAAAGACTCGTGGCATGGACACATTTTCCTTGTGATTGTGAGCACAAAAGAGAAAGCTCAAGCCTCAACCCGGTTTTCCACTTCAGAATTTTTTCGCACGAAGCGATAATTTTCGAATTTAGGCATGCGCAGACGTTTTACGACGTCACATATACACAGCGATGAAATCATTGAGTTCTATAATCAGGGACGCCGGAACTGGGGGGCAACGGCCCCCCTTGCCTTTTCTGGAGGTGGGCAGGGGGGGCAAAAGTGCCCTACGGGTTGAAAGTTTATTGTTTTTAATCCAAGATAAAGACTACTTAACCGTTGTGGTATATTTCATTCTTTTTAGCTTAGCAATAAAATTGTCGTAACTATGTTAGTTTTCCTTTAACATTTGGCTTTGTAAGCTATGGGCTTTGATGGGGCTTCAGCAATGAAATCCCTCACAAGAAAGCTCAAGGAAGATATTGCACCAAACGCAATTTATGTTCATTGTTTCAGTCACTGCAATGAACTTATTATACAGGATGCAGCTAAGCAATCTAATTTATTGTCTACATCACTGGATTTATGCCAATCCCTGTATGCAATCGTAGGTGCCCATCCAAAACGTATTTTATTGTTCGAAGAAATACAGGCAGATTTTAGAAACGAAACAGGAACAAACGATTACAAAGTTCTACGACTCCAAATCTTTCTACGAGATGGACAACAAGAGTAAAGGCTGCTGACGTCATCTTCGAGAAATCGGCTGAACTACATGCAACCCTTGAAAAATTGCAGGAAGATCCTAGCATTTCGGCAGACACAAAAGCAAAGATTAGAGGAATATTAAGGCGACAACTGTCTTCCTTAATCGTCATCTTTAATTTAAACGCGACAAGAAAGCTATTGGCTTTACTCGAGAAGCTTTCTAAAGAGCTCCAAGCGGTTGATATTTCAGCTGAGTACGCTCTATTTTCAATAAAACATGTCCTGCAACGTCTTCATGAGATGAGAAGCGAAGAAGAGTTTGAGCGTACACTTGATGACGCTAAGAAAGTTCTTCGTGTTCTGATGTCGTTTCCACTGGAATTTAGTGAAAATTTTGGCACTGGCACTAGACTAAGAAAAGTTCCAAGATGGATGAATAATGAAGAAGTGTTAATAACAGAAAGCCTTCACGTCACAGATGCCTCAGTTTACAACAGTGCGAATATAACACCAATGCGAAGCTCGTACTACCAAGCCATTGATGCAATCATCTCAGGTCTAGGATCACGATTTGAACAAGACGATCTTTTCCAGATCAAATGTATCGAGAAACTGTTACTTAACTCTATGAAAGAAAGAGGAGTATCTTTAGATGGATTAAGCAATTCTTTGATTGATAAAGATGCTCTAAGAAAGCAGCTTGATGATCTTCCCACCATTCTTGAGCTTTACAACGCGGATCAGAAGAAAAAAAATAACAGAAGTCACGCGTATTTCAACAATAGCAGAGATACTGAATGCCATGCCGTCAGCAAAGAAAAGGTGCTCAGAGATCCACAAACTAATTATACTATACTACACAGTGCCACTCTCATCTGCCTCGTGCGAACGCACATTCAGCGTAATGCGTCGTCTCAAAACATGGCTGCGGTCAAACACCGAAGGAAATCATCTGAATGATATTATGTTCTCCAACATTCAGAAGCAACACATGGCTATGGTGGAAATAGACGTAATTGCCAAAGAGTTTTCACAGAGAAATGAAAGAAGAATTAAATATTTTGGAAAATACAATACATGACAAATTGTGAATTAGTGACGTTACATCGTTTGATAGTTATATTATCGTTAATATTAATCGACCAACACTGCAGACGTGTGCTTCTGTACAGTGTATTGCATGTAGTACATCTCTTTGCTGTTTATCAATATAAGATTATTTTTAGTATATTTCACTAATGTGCCCTTCCACAAAGGCTTGCCCCTCCTGCCCTTTTGCCTTTCCGGCGTCCCTGTCTATAATAACTGGAGGGGCTAAGTAGTCTGGGACGAGGCTGTCGAAAAAATGGCGGCCAATGGACCTATTTCCGCTGAAACGACTGCTTCGCAGAAAACAATATTCTCGTCCTCCCCCTGGTGTATATATTTAAATATATAGAATTTATTAAAACGAAACATGCTAATTTTTGGCATTTCTCTTATAATGCCAAAACTTTAACTGTTCAATTTTTGGATGTCGTGGTTCCCACAAAAAGAGCATCTCGCTTCTCACAGGTGAGATATTTGCTTGCTTTGCTTGTTCATCAAAGATTGAAAAGCAATTATACACATGAAAAGCCATAAAATCCGTAAGATCGTATTTTTTAAAACTGACATGAACGTCAAAAATACTGATGTTTTCCTGGGGTTTTTTATAACACTCAGTATACTTTTCTGTTATTTGTTAATGTATGTCTTTTGTATGAAATCGTAAATTTACCCATTGGGTCTAATTCAATCTATTTGCAAAATAGTCTCCCTGACGCCAAAAAGACCTTGCACATTTACTCAGTGGGTAGATAGCCAAAAGGAACGATCAACATAAACAATGCACATGATTTGGAGCAGAGCTTGTTATGTTCTATTTGCTAACACCTTGCACGGAAGATCAGGTAGCAAAGATGACTGGAAGATGTTATTGACCAGGCAGAGTCATACGAAAAAATGATAAGGCTGAATTAAAAGACAAATAATTCATTGTCTTACCTTTCCAGAATTATTTAATTTGATCATGGTCAAATTCTATGGATGGAGACTTAACAAAGGATGCCTTGAATGCTTTAAAATTAAAGTTCAATAACCAAAGAAAGATGGCAAGAAGGTTGTGTGTGTTCTGATTCTTGATGAAAGGTTAATTCACAAACATGTAAAATGTGAAAGTTTATGTTTATGTGAATATTGGGTACTTAGATTGATGATGACTCACTGTAGATGTATAACTTAAAACTGTAAAATCCATTGAGTGTTATATTGCTTAATGGTTAGTCATGTCATATCTTTATCATAAATCTTTTACTAGAGTATTGTTTCAATGTTACTAATAGCTAATGCATGCTACAATGAAGCAATAAATTATCAGTGACGTAACCTTTAAAATTACAGTGCTATTTATTTCTTCTAACTTTCAGTTTTTGCTTTACAAAAAATTATTGAGCTAATTTGCCTATTAGAGTACAAAATGAATATTTTTATATGCATTATTTGCTGTTTTAAAGAAAACTTCCTTGACTTTTCAAAGTTTTTCTTCAACTTTTTGATACTTATTTCATGGAGGTAGTACAAGTTAATAACTTAATAATTTCTAGACAGCTTTTGAGCTTCTAGCATAAAAGTACACAAAATGTGTTTCATTCATTTGGATTTATGGCCTTGCTATAATACATCACATGCACTTCATTATTCCCTTATGAACACAACACCAGATGTGGATACTCAAAGAAAAAAAATCCACGAATAACTGCTTATGAGTTTTTTTTATTGAGGTAAAACTGTATTAATCATTCAAATTGTGCACTTACATTGCAAATTAAGGACAGACAAAACAAAGAGAAAAAGAAGGGTAGAAGTATTGAATTTACACAATTGAATTATAAACACCATTGCATGCAGAAGTGTTTTGATGATTATTTGCATTTTCCCCAAATCATAAATTAATACAATAAAATCAAAATGTGCTACAACTTTTTGATCCAGTTCCACTTTAGAACATCACAAAAAAGTTACTAAGTGATTTGCATACAATATTAATTTTGGATGAAAAACTTCCACTTGAAAAATTATTTTTATCATTCGCTCCCTCCTGATTGCTAATGCAACTCAATTCATAAAACGCATGGAGTGAAAACAACCATCGAAACCACTAAATCATGAAGATATTCTCTTGTGCTTTATGTAAAGCACTCATTAATACGAAGACAATGTATTGAAGGTAAAGAATTTTTGTTATGGTTCAATGGTAATTTAATTAAAAAATAACACTAGACGGCATTTTTCTGTGTTGTCTATTAAAAAGAACTCGACCGAATCTGTTCATGAGTCATGACTGCAAAACGTAAGAAAGGCAAGTCATCTATAAAATCTCACTGACGACTTAACTGTTCTCAAACAGTTGATGCAACTATCTTGATCGATCTAACCCTACAGCTACAGCATGTCGACTGCTATACATATCTTGGGCCTTCTTGGCCAAGTTTTTTTGTCATTAAATTTTGA